GGCAGGTGATACTTCAGGTTGTTGGGCAATCAGACTGGCAGGGCCTCACTGGGGAGGTGTCATCACCAGAGACCTGAATGAAGCAAGGGAGCAAGGGAAGGAGGGGGTGAGTCACGAATCCCATAGGGCGAAGGAGCAAGCTTAGCCTGTTTGAGGAGCCCAGAGGAGGAGAGGGGCCTGAGCAAAGTGTTCATAAAGGTAGGGGGTGGTAGGAGATGAGTCACATGGAATAAAGTCTATGCGGTTCTACCTGAAAGTAATGGGAAATATGGGAAGGTCCTGAGTAGAAAGGTGGCATGGTCTGATTTCACATAAAAGGGGTTTTCAGGCATCCTGGGAAGTGACGATGTATCCGATGGGTATCGGGGGGTTGGCAGGAGGTTAGATGTGAAAGCTCAATTGTTTAGTGGACACTAAGGAGCATGAGCCCAGGAGACCAGCCTGGGAGGGAGACTCGGGTTCACGAGAGCAAAGTGAGGACTCTATTAGTGGGAGAAGGCAGGGAGCTTTTTGTTTGTTTGGGTTGTCATTGGTGTTGGGGAGGAGCACGCAGGAATGTTGTAGGTTTGTCTGTTGGGTGTCAGAAAATGCGGTGGGAGGTCTTAATGGGAGGACAGTCATCCGGGGCGGTGTGCTGTGTTCACCTGTCAGTAGCATCTGAGGACAGTTCACCTTGTCAGAGTTCTTGGGCTGCCTCCAGAGCGCCCTCGTTGTGGGGGTTTGTAATCAAGTAAACCCGGCAAGCTTTACATAAAAGGTTTCACACTGTAGGTATCATGTTGCAACTTTTTTCACTTAACATTATATTTTTCAGACTGCACTAAAGGACACCAAAATATCTCACCCAAAGATATACCTCTTTGGCATATTTGGCAGTGGTTATTCAGAGAAAATGCAGACAAGAATAAGCCTGAAAAGCTGGCCTTTTGTGGAGGAGATTTGCATTTGTAGAGAAAATGTGCATTAGCAAAATAGACAGCCAAGCTTTTTCAGAGGCCCTTCCTACCCTCGTTCAGACCCAGGAAGGATTAACTCAAAGGAAAGAGACTAAGCATCTGACACATTTTGAAGGTCCAACAGAGAAACTTTTACCATCCTTACCATCTGTTCTTTCTGCAGGCTGCTGCCTGTGAAGTTTCATTTACATAATAAGACCACCTTCCCTAGGCAGGCTTTCCTTCTCTTTCTCTCCCATAACCTGCCTCGCCACTCTCCAAGGCCCTATTCTTTTTCTTTTTTTTTTTTTTGAGACAGAGTCTCACTTTATTGCCTAGGCTAGAGTGAGTGCTGTGGCATCAGCCTAGCTCACAGCAACCTCAAACTCCTGGGCTCAAGCGATCCTCCTGAGTAGCTGGGACTACAGGCATGCGCCACCATGCCCGGCTAATTTTTTCTGTATATATTAGTTGGCCGATTAATTTCTTTCTATTTATAGTAGAGACGGGGTCTCGCTCTTGCTCAGGCTGGTTTCGAATTCCTGACCTCGAGCAATCCGCCCGCCTCGGCCTCCCAGAGAGCTAGGATTACAGGCGTGAGCCACCGCGCCCGGCCCAAGGCCCTATTCTTTCTGTTACCTCTGGGTGGTATAAAAGCTTCTGCCATCTTGGAGATTTCCTTTTTTGTATGACTCCCGTGCACACATGATCACATATTAAATTTGTTAGGTTTTTCCTTTGTTAACCCATCTTTTGTTGTACGAGTGGCCATTTATGATGGGGAGGAAAGAGTTCACCCCATTTTCACCCCAACACAGCCAAGTCCATATATGTAACACTCTTGTTCCATTGTATGGGATGCCCTATTTTATACACCCATTCTTTTATTGCTGGACATTTAGGCGGTTTCCAACTTTGAGCTATTCCAAGCATTGCTGCTGTGAATGTCCTTATACCTGCCTGTTTGCATATATATGCAAGAGTTTCTGTCTAGTGTATCTATCTCTGGGACGGTAGGTGCTGGGGTGTACTTACCCACAGCTTTGTACTTTAATCTTGGTTTTGTCATTCAGGAATCTGATGAGAAACTTCAGTGACCGGAAGTTAAACCCAGCCATGCTTTGCCCTTCTGAGTTTTATTTTCTTTTCTGTAAAATGCATCATAGTACCTACTTCTTAAAGTCACAAGAATTAAATGAGATCATGAATGTAAAGTACTTAAGACAGTATCTTACACATTGTAAGCATTCAATACCTGGGAACTTTTTATGTCTTATGGACACAGGAAATTAAAATAGTTAAAAATTCTGGGTCTTTGAAGTCTGACAGAACCTGGGTTTAAAACCTGCCTTTGTATGCTACTTTTCCTCTGGGTCCTTTGGGAGATTCACTTTACGTTTCTGAGCCTTGTCTGTTTGACTAGGGCAAATTAATACAGTCACAAATAATCGTTCTGTAAGTGTTGTGAACTAAAATAAAATCTTAAGCCCTCCCGCTGACTGAATGGACCCCCTTTTGGCCAAGGGGACCCCAGAAATACCCTAAAGCTGAGTGGGTGGCCATAAGAAGGAAGTTCAGACATGCCTCATCACACACTCCACCCTTCTTGGAAATATCATTGGCAACTCATTAACAGACTTAAGGCTATCCAAGACAGATCACTTGAGTCTGGGTATATGTCCAGTCTATGTCCAGTGGCTTGTCTTTGATTAACAGACTTCCTTAACTTAAAACATGCCAAGCCTTTATGTAACAGAGATAAAGCTCTGAAAAACGGCAACGAAATATTTTACGAGTTGTCTCTTTAAAACTCTCCAGTCTTTTTGGGAATTAAAACTTCCATTCCTTCCGGGAGCCAGTAATCAAAGGGGCACAAAAATGTTCTTTGGTGTTTGTTTTCTAATATCTTCAACCCCAGATGGCTCAACAGAATTGTCACAAGATTGGAGTCAACAGAGATAAAGTTCACTGAAATTAACCAATTATAGTTGAACTGCAGTAGCCATGACACCAGCCACATAGACCTGAGCCCAACCCCCAAAATTCCGCTTTAAAAAGCCCTGTTTTTCTGTTTAAGGGCGAGGTGATGGTCTTTTGGGACGCTACTCTGCCATTCTCCTCATTTGCTGGCACATTAATAAACGTCTGTTTCCTTTTCCCCAAACCACTTTTCCTTGTTCTTCTTTGTTCTCACCGATTTGGCCTCTGGGACAAGTACTGAACTTTTGGTAACATTTAGATGAAGCTTCATTTATTTAACCAATTACAAACCAAAGAATCTTTAAACCCTCCTATAACCTGTAACTCCCTGCTTTGAGATGTGCTGCCTTTTCAGCCAAAACAATGTTCACCTTCCATGTATTGATTTATGACTTTGCGTGTAATTCCTGTCTCCCCAAAATGTATAAAACCAAGCTGTAACTCCAACCATGGTGAGACCACTTGCTCAAGGCTTCTGCATGTAGCTCTCTGGGCCATGGTCACACAAATTATTTTACAGAGTTTGGATTAATCATTTTCCAACTTTCCTTTTTGAAGTGGTTCTGAAGCTTTAGTGCATCAGACTCACATAGAGGGCTTGTTTAAACACGATGGCTGCACCCCACCCCCAGCTCTGATATAGTAGCTCTGGGGTGGAGCCCAAGAATTTGCATTTCTCGTAAGTTCCCAGGTGATCCTGATGCTGCCAGTCCCAGGACCACACTTTGAGAACCACTGCTTTGTCTCAGAGATACTCTTAACTTTTGTATGGTGATTCTTAGTCCTCCTAAGACTCTTTAGTCTTCCCCTAAAGCCTAGCCACTCAATACATGTCCCTTAAGGAACCTACCCCTCTTCTTCCCCTACTCCATTTCCTATCATCCAACTTGTGGGTGCTCAGTCTCTACTAAGCATTTTAATTGTTTGTGGCATTTGACCAGTGTCCATTATTTTCTTGTCTGTAGCTCATCTCTTCTTTGTTTATTGTTAGTTAATTAGAAGCAAGACTGTAAGAGCATTTACATGTCTTATTCATCTAGTCTGTAAATTCTTTGAAAGGAGGAACTAAGTTTAATTTCCCTTTCGGTCCACTTCCTTAATTAAGCTGCAGCCCATGGCTTGCAAACCCAGTTGCTTATAAAGGCCAAAAGGCAGTGAGAATAAGCGGAGCTTGCCACATGGAAATGTCTCTGGAAGTCATGTCTTAAGTAAGGAGGGCAGATGCTACTTGGCTTTAAGCCAATCATAGATCCATCGTCCTCCAGTTTTCCTATTTTTCAAGAGAAACAAGAAATAATGCCAACTAATTCATGATTTTAAGTACATGGAAAAGGTCATACAGACTACATCTGGTGGAAGCAAAACTGAATCCATCCCATGTTGCAAGATCTTTGGGGTTAATGGGTGGATGGGAGCATGGACGAGTGGGTAGATGAGTGAGTGAATCTGGGTCGTTGTGGCAGCTCTGGTTGAAACTGGGGAAGTTGCAATATGGTATCTACTATACACCTGGCCTTGTGCAAGGGGCTTTGCATACTTATCTCATTATGACCTTCATAACAACACCACAAGGTAGTTGTTATCATTCTCATTTATTTCCACGCCCATTTCACAGATAAAGAAACTGAGGCTTAGAAAAGCCCAAGGTCACGTGCTGCTTTTCTTTATTTATAAGCTACCCTAATTCCAAAACTAGGATTCCTTATGGACTGACATGATTTAAGCTGGATCCTGAACCTGGGATTGCAGGACAGCTCTATTATATGAAATTGCCAAAACAAAAGGCATCAGGTTTTCAGAAGGCAGGGGGGGAGGGGGGGAGGATACTAATAGGTCAGGGAGCAGGTTTGATTCCCTGGGCGTCTTACTAAGCAACTCATAGCTTCATGCTCCTCAAGGATGCAGCCAGTACCAAGGAGCTAGGACACCAGGGGGTCTCTCGCCACCTCGATTTGTCCTCCTTTCTCCCTACTTATTCTCCTCTGGGAATTCCAGACTTCTGCCCACCAACCTTGGAGCTCATTCCATCTCAGTTCTTTTCTAGATCCCAGCAGGATAAAGACAGAGGCACAGATACGGGAGCTATTTAGATGGAAAACATTTTATTGTGGTTACTGAACCAGGAACGCATCATCGTAGGAAGGGAGCCGGATCCCACGCCAGCCTCCTCTTCCAGTGGGGTCGGCAGTGCTGGGTCTTGAAGGCCATGTCACTGGGCATCAGGGGTCGCACTCCTCAGTCCTTTCAGCTGGAGGGAGAGGGGTTATGGCTAGACTGGGGACCCCTGGGTGCTGGAGTCCCCACAAGGAAGCCCGGTATAGGACGAGGTGCTGATGGAAAGGAATTTCTGCCCCAATGTAAGTGCCCATTCTCCTCTAAATTTAGCAGCTGAGATTTCCCTTTGCTTTGTCGAGAAGAAGGTTTATCTTCCTTTTACTGTCCCTACCCTCCTCCCGATCCTCTGCTTCTTTCCTCACCCCAACCTCTGTACCCCCTAATGCCCACCGCCTCTTACCTTAGGAAAAGCATCCCAGTTGAGGAAAGGAAGTTTCTTTTTGATGGCCTGAAAAGAAAAAGAGAGCAAGAGAGTGAGGTGGGGAAGGGCAGGTGAGCGTGGATTTGGAAGCACTCACTACATGAGCGCCCCTAGTGGCCGTGGGGTTATTGTTCCATAATTACAGTAAGAGCTAGTATTTCCCGAAGCCTTAAATGCTCTACAGGGGTGATTTCGTCTAGTCTCTAGAGTAACCCTTTTGAGGTAGGTACCATCATCATCCCCGCATCACAGATGAGGAAACTGAGGCTCAGACAACTGCAGACATTTGCACGAAGCCACGTGGAAGGTAAGCGCAGAGTCCTGAGACACAAGCGCTAGCCCAACTCTGCCACTGACTTGGCCGTCTGCCTTTGGGTGGGCCTCGCTTGTTCACTGAGCATGCGTTTCTTCATCGGGGATGAGGGAATGCAAATACAATCTCAACTGATTAATTCTTCCTCTTCCGGAATTGTCTATGTGGCCCTGCTCTTGCACTGCTATCTTGAGAAAATAGGGTGTAACCACAGCAGGCTCTTGGGGACGCTTTCTTTGGTTGCCGACACACTGGGCAGCGTCCAGGCTGGGCAGGGCAGCCACTCCCTCCTGGAACTCGGGAAGGATCCAAAAGGCTTAAAACCAGAACGTGCTGCCACCAGCCTGGGAAGACGGCCGGGGAGGGTAGGGGCCACCCGAGCACTCACCTCGAAGAGCGCGTGCCAGTTCAGGAATTCATCAGGCTTAAAAGCCTGCGGAGAAAGAGAGAGACCAGAAGCAGGTCAGGGGGGCTGGGGGGGTGGGGACGGAGCTGAAGCTCTCCCAGGGCGTTTGTCCCCTCTGCAGAGGGGACACCGCGGGGCACGCCGGGGAATCGTACTTACGGATCGCAACTTGTCGATGTTCAAGAACTGAGGGTTAAAGGCCTAGGCGAAAAAGCACGGTGTTAAGAAAGTCGCTACGGAGCGCGAGGGGGCAGGGGGCGCACTCGTGGGCCGGGTGCGTGCAGGGGCTGATGGCTCACCTCGGATCCCGCCACGTAGTTCCCGATGGTGGTTTCTTCCTGGAGAGGGAGAGGGACAACAGGAAGCCAATGGTCACATGATCACGTCCCTCCCGACCAGCTTCTGCCCTGGCCGCGCACGTGCTTGGCAGGTGCACGAGGGGAGGGGCAGGTGTGGGAAAAGGCACATGTGAGACGCAAGTTCAAACCCCAGCCCCGCATCCACGGGGCGCCGGGCGGAAAGGGCGGAGCAGAGAGGGCTCCTCCCGGGAGAAACCAGCCGGAGTTGTTCTGCGGTGGAGTCGGGGTGTTGGGGTGTCGCAGAGACACCCATGCTCAGCCCCCATAGCTGGGCGGGGAAGGTCGGCAGGCAGAGGGGGGCCATGCTGCTGAGGCCGCCTGGTTTGCTTTGTCCCTCGATTGCCACCGGCGCTGGAGTGTCCCTTTCCCTCCTCCCTTGGGTGACGACGCCCCCAGACCACAGAGCAGCCCCTCTTGTCGGCTCCCTTCTTCCTTCCTCCCCCAAACAGACATCTCCGACGCCAGCCCACGGCCTGGACCCGGATGTCTGGATCTCACAGCCGCGTGGCTTGCTTGTTTTTGAATGCGAATTAAACATTCTGGATTAGTAAGAATTCATAAATAAATCCAGATCTCTGGTTTCTCCCGAAAATTTGAAGACTGCACACTGGGCACGTTTTCCCCTCTGCGGCCGTTGGATGGAGTGGAGACAGCCCCCCTTTAGATCGGGGCACCCTTGCTCCCCGACACCACTGGCTTGGACCCTCAGCAGCTGAGTCTGTGAACCCCCGGTTTAGACTTTTAAATCCAGAATGGACGGCAGTGTTCCTGGCTAGCCGGGGCTGGGTCATAGGGATTCTGGATCGCAGCCTGGGCCCAGGCGACACACCTGAGCCCCGGTCTCTTCCCCCCAGTGCTTCCATCGCAAGCATCTCTGCTCCCCAACATCTCCCCAGCGGGGCTCCGCTCCCTTCCCCAGCCCCAGCTTCCTGGTGGGCCCCTGCCACCATCCGGACGTCAGAGCCACGTCCCCAGCGGGGGGACGGCGGGCAAAGAAATTGAGGGGCAGGTGGGTGGTGGGTGTAAGAAAAACCCGCAGGCGGGGTGCTCACCTCGGAGCCCCCCAGGGCAGCACCCCGGGCAGAGTGGAGCGCCAGCAGACAGAGCAGAGCCACGGCGGGAAGAACCGGGATCTTCATGGTGTCGGGTTTGGGGTGCTCTGAGGCGGGGCCTCCCTGCTCGCTCTTTATATTCCAAGGCAGAAGCGGGGTCCCCACCCCACTGACTCACCCCCAGATTCTGTCGCCCACCCCCGGGGCTCAGGGAGGGGGAGGCAGGGACTGTTCCCCATCGACCTGGGATTTCTCAACGCACACCCCGCCCCAGGCGCTGGGAAGGTGAGGCTGCCATAGGCCTCTCCATGCCAGTGGCCCGGTGGGGACAGGTCGGACCTGTCCCTGCGAGGGTTTGGCGGTGGCTCTCAGGCAACCCTCCTTTTGTCTTTGTCTCTTTCCCCACGTCTCTCATTCCTCTCTTACAATTCAGGCTTTTTTTTTTCTGGAAAATTCTGTCTGAACTCCTTAGACTGCCACTGAAGACCTTTATTTTACCCAACCTGCCTTGTTAACTTTTCACCCTTTACTACCTTTGCATGTACCTCACATTCTAGCCAAACTGAACTCCTTTCCAAATGGACCTTTCTTTCTTTTTTCATTTTTTTAATTTTTTTTTTAGTTGTCCAATTAATTTCTTTCTTTCTTTTTTTTTTTTTTTTTTGAGACAGAGTCTCGCTTTGTTGCCCAGGCTAGAGTGAGTGCCGTGGCGTCAGCCTAGCTCACAGCAACCTCAAACTCCTGGGCTCAAGCCATCCTCCTGCCTCACCCTCCCGAGTAGCTGGGACTACAGGCATGCACCACCATGCCCGGCTAATTTTTTCGATATATATTAGTTGGCCAATTAATTTCTTTCTATTTATAGTAGAGCCGGGGTCTCGCTCTTGCTCAGGCTGGTTTCGAACTCCTGAACTCACACGATTCTCCCACCTCGGCCTCCCAGAGTGCTGGGATTACAGGCGTGAGCCACCACGTCCGGCCCAAATAGACCCTTCTTTTTCTGTCCTCCAAGCCTCCGGCCGTGCTGTTCCTTATTCCCAAAATGTCCTACTCTCTCCTCCAGTTCTGAGAGCCCAGTCCCTCTTGGGTGAAGCTTCCCTGACTTGTCCCACCCTCCCCATCCCCCCCCATCTTTCCTTTCTCAGAATTGCACTATCAGTTCGTTTGTATCTCCCTGGCATTGCGCCTGGAGTCATTTGTGCTCTTCTCTTGTTTCCCTTTTAGAACGTTGAATTCCTGGAGGTCAGGAAGTTTATCCTAATCCGCCTGGTAACCCCCAGCACGATGCCTTGCACAGAACACACGTGAGGTCAGCATTTATTAGGTTGCATTGTTGGAATTAATGTTCAGGCATCCTTCTGCCAAGTTATACCCTTTCTTTCCTCGGGGCTGGCCCCCGCCCCTCTCCAGCTGCCCGTCTTTTACTCTTGGGCGACTGTCTTGAGCTAAGAAAACAGGAAAGAGAGAAGAAGCACAGAAAAGCAAAAATAAGGTCTTAGGGACGCCCGGTGGGAGACGGGAGCTAGGTGTCCTGAACTTGGAGTGCCTACCCCATTTCGCTGAGCTCACCCCACCCTACCCCCGGCTTGGAAGTTGGATCATCTCGTAAGTGACAAAACATCCTAATCAAGCAGCCTTCTCCACAATGAGGTTCAGGTGGCCTGACCGGTTCCTGGTGTAGCAGGGAGGTGCCGGGACTCGTGGCGCTGCCGGGCAAAGCCAGGCCTTATCTGCCAGTGGGCCTGCTCGCCCCGGCCTGGCCTGGCGCAATGCCCTGCGACAGCAGGCCGAGGGCGGGAGAGCCAGGTGTCATTCGAGAACAGTCTCCATGCACCCAGAACTTCAACGCTCACCCTGGCCCCCCACCCCAGTCCCAGACGTCCTGCCCCTCTTTGGCCACAGGAAGACACCGTGGAGTAGTGTCCTGGCCAGCCCGTGCAGCACCTTGTGTGGATTAGACCCGTGCCCTGAGCGTGGGGCCAGGCTGCAGGGAACCCCACTAGCACCCGTCGCCGGGGGTCCTTTGGCAGTGCGCAGCCTGCACAACCGTACGGGGCAGCTCTGATTCTGTCCATGGCAGCTTCCCCTTTGCAGAGCCGCCCAGGAGACAGTGCTGGAGGAACGCCAGCCTGGCACAGGTGGCCATGTGGCCCTGGATGTCACCTACGGTTGGCGCCACCGGAGGGAACGAGTTAGAGAATGACGCGGGTGGGTGGGGCCCCTCCCAAACGGTTTTCTGGAGGACACCTGTTTTCGTGTGGGATGAATTCTCACTAATCAGTGAACAGTGACCGAAAAAGCTCGTCGGCCACCATTCTGCCGGCACACGGTCAAACTCCAGGAGTGGAAGGAAGGAAGAATCAGATCAAAAGACAGCTGAGGTTGGGCGATCCATCGGCTACAGTCAGGCGTGGATGGAGGGACGCAGCCTCGGTTTTGCCCCGGGAAATCCAAACCGGTGGGCGGCCCGGGCACCATCCCCTGCTTGGCTCTGGGATCTAGTCTGTGATTGTTCCATGGCAACCAACTGACCTGCCTGTGTTTTCCTCTCCACCTAATGGTGCTAATGACAACGTCCTCCGGTTATTGAGGGCTCACTACGCGGCAGGCCTTGCGCTAGGTGCTCCAAATACATGATCTCGTTGAGATGCTGCGGCGATTCTGCGAAGCGGGCACTGTAATTATCCACATGCCCTAGGCAGGGGAACCCCAGCGTATAGAGGTTAAATAACTTGCCCCAGGTCGTACGGCCAGTGTGTGCCAGGGCCAGCGTTAGAACCCTGGGCTTCCAGATCCTCAACCCGATTGCTCCTTAAGCTACACCGTGGAGTAGTGTCCTGGCCAGCCCGAGCAGCACCTTGTGTGAATTAGACCCGTGCCCCGAGCGTGGGGCCAGGCTGCATGGAACCCCCACTAGCACTCTTTGCCGGGTGTCCTTTTGCAGTGCGCAGCCTGCACAACTGTACGTGGCCGCTCTGAGCATTCGGCCACTGATTTCAATGAGCTGAACTTCACATTCTTGGGCCGAATGAAAGCAGAGAGAGCTAAGAGGTTACTGGCACTCAATGAGCGTGTGCCCCAGAACGAGCCTGCAATTCCCTCAGCTTCCAGATGCCTCTCATAGGGTGAGTGTCTTGACATACCATATGTGTTTAAAGACTAGTGTTCTAGTTCTAGTGTTGTAAAGTTCTAGATTTTAAAGATAGGTACTTTTGTATAAAGCCTCCAAACACAATGCTCCGACAATGTCGTGTGCTCCACCAAAGAAATTCTTGTTCCAATGCTGAATACAAAGCTGGCTGTGTTGGACTTAGGATTTGTTTCCATCTGGCACCTTCCTGGTAGATTTTTCCGGGGTAATTTGGTCTTTACGTGATTTCGCTGTGAGTGCTAGCTTTAGAATCCAGTGTCTCCCTGCAAGCTCCTCCCCATGTCCCCGGTCCACACAGCCTCAGCGAGTTTGTGCTCCCTGAGCGTCCGACGGCCAGTGGCTGGCCAGGTGGGGGCGGGGAGGGGCAGAGGGGTTGTCTCTGGGAGAGGGTCCCAGCAGTTCAGATCGCGGGTGGCAGGAAACCCACCCGGGGTTCAGCTCCGCCTTGGAGGAACCACATGGGGTTAGTGAAGCCAGACAGAGTCACAGAGTCTGGCTCTGCGGCGCCCCCCACCCCCACCCCCCGGGTCTGGTTGATTTCCTAGATCCCCCTAGAGAATACCAGTAAACCCCTGTTTTCCCACAGGCCTGCCCCCACCCCAGCCCAGATGTGCCAGAACTTGAGTGGAGTGTGGGTGGGAGGTGAGGCCCAGCCCTGATTGCTCCATCCCGAGACACACCTAGGGGCTGGGAGCCGGCCTGCTGGGTTCAAGGAGCGAACGGGGCATTTGCAGGGAGAGACCCTGCTTCCTCGAGGCACTGAGGCGAAAACCCTGGAATCCTGGGCGAGAAAGGGGGCTGGGGAGCGGGGTGTTAGGAGGCAGAGCTGAAGGCATCTGCATCCCATCCCTCCCTCCCTCCCTCTGCCAACGCCACCGCCACACCCAGGAGGGCAGCCTCGCTCACCGGCAGGTCTGGTTCTTCCCTGGCCGCCCACCCTGCGTGCCCTTTGCTTACACTTCTCCCAGGAAGACTTCCTGGATTGGGCCCACTTGATTCCGATCCCTTTTTCCATTCCCTAATGCGTAAATATTTGTCGAGTGACCACTTTGGCTGCCGGTGCTGGGAATTCAGGACGGACGATGCACCTACCCCGAGGAGTTTACGTTCCAGTCGGGGAGATGGATCTCAATCAGAATGAAAAATAAATAAGCAAATGAGATAACGTCCGAGAATGACAGCACCGTGAAGAAAACAAGGCGACGTGCGCACGACCGGGCATCCTTGGTTAAGGTGGCCCGGGGAGGGACATTCGAGGGCAGCCCTGAAGCAGCAGGAGCCCTGGCCTTCCGAAGGTCTTGGGGCCCAGGGGCAGGTGGCGACAGCCGTGTGGCCCAGGGTGACTCCGGGGAGGGAGGTCATAGCCAGACCACCACGGTGCGGCTTGGGGGTTTTAGTCCAGAGCCGACGAAAAGTTTGTTCCGAGCGGGGAATCCTCCCGGCCTTGTGGGAGAATGAGCTATAAGGAAAGGAAATGAAAGCTGGGACTCCAGGAGGTCCCTGGAGGCCCTGGCAGGAGAGAGGGGCGGCCTGCCCTTGACTGGACGGTCCCTTGCGCCAGGGGACCTTAGCCTGCGGCAGGTGTTACTTTGAACTTTAAGGGGCTGCTTTCGGCCTTGGGACCAGGGACGCCGCAAGAATCCAGAACCATCTGACCACACCCACGTCCCCCTCGACCCCTCGGGGACTGGCTCCAGGAGAGCCGAGTTCGAGGCTGCGTCCCATCCTCCCCAGGAGACAGGAAGGCTTGTCGCGGTTCGGGATGGAGCGTCCTCTAGGGGACGGCCCCTCGTCCTCCCCCCTGTGGCCACCGGGAGGTACTGCAAGGCCCTCATGGGGCGCTGAGCCGGGGCGGTGACTATGCAGACCAGGGCCACCACATAAGGAAGGACCCCAGTGAGGAAGGGAGGCAGAGCGAAGGGGCAGCCCTGCCCTTTCTCCCAGTCTGGCGTTTCCATCAAGTCGGTTTCTGGGGGTCAGTGTGGGGTCTGGTTCCTTTTTCATTTATTCCCCAGCTGTTTGAAGCCCTGTGCCCAGCCCGGGGACGGAGCGATGACCAGGGCAACCGGGGCAGAAGTCACTCGGCTGGCAGGGCCGTCCTTTTACTTCCTGGTCGTCTGCAGGGATGTCGGGGGGAGCACGGTGGGACTGGGGGGCTCCTTAAACTGAGCACACCGTGCCAGCTTGATGGGACTTGGAGACCCCAACCGCAGACTCCAGCCCTGCCCCAGGGGCTCCTCTGCCTGCGTCACTGGCACTCTGAGGGGTCGAGGTGTTCTGCCTTCCGCCCTCTGTGTTCTAGAAGCACAGAGCAGCCGCATAGGACAAGGTCCTGGGTCTGACCCAGCCCCCCATTTCCTAAGCACCTCAACCCAGAAGCTCCTCTCCCCCTACTCCAGTCTGCTCATGTGGGGGGCACAGTGTCCCCCAGCCCCCTGCTCCCCCATGCTGCACTCTCCCCGACCCCCTGGGACTGGGCTCCCCGCTTTGAACGACCTGTATACTGCAGCCTCCATCTGAATACTTTCACTGTTGCTTTTTCCGATACCAGAACACCTGTGATTGCCCCAAGCCCAGCACGCGTTGTATTCCGATGTAGGCTGGGCAAAGATTGGGTTTTTTTTACAGATGGGGAAACTGAGGCACAGTGAGATGAGCCAGCTGCTTCTCGTCCAGAACGAAACCCAGGCCTCGTCTCTCTCAGCCTACCACATTTTATACCACTCCCAGGAGGGAGATAAGTTATCTGCCCCCCAAATCACTCTCCCATCCTCCCCGACCCAGGCCATCCCTGTAGCATGCGAGAATAAAATTCGAGAAAGTCGTAGGGAAACAAGATTCATGTTTTATTTCCACAGAGAAACTCAAAAGTAGGAAGCTCTGGCCGAAGAACCGCCAGTGGCTTCGGGTCACAAGACGGGGGGGTAGGGAGTGGCCGGTTTATCCGGACACCACCCAGCCCAGGGCCGGCACGGGGTGGGGGGCTAGGGGGCCCCGTCAGGCTCCTGACGACCCGCGTTTCCAGGCCTCAGTCGTGATGGGAAATCGTTTTCTAGAAGAAAGGACAAGATCCAGTGATAGAACACGGCCGCTCCTTGATCTGCTGGGACCCCTGGATCTGCCCCGCCGTGTTCGGCCCTCCGCTCGGATCTCACGGGGTGGTTTCTCAGTGTCCCAGGTCATTGTCCTATGAGTCTTTCCCCACACCCCACAACGGGGTCTCCTCCTCCTCAATTCCTTTACCATCCACCCGGAGCGAACCCGACTTCCTGACGGAGGGCCGGGGGCGATGCCAAGATCCAGGCGCTGCCCCGAGGGGCGACTGTGTCCCAGCCCCTGGGATATGGCCCTGTGCGGCTCACCGTGACACTCACCTACCAAAACTTCAGCCAGTGCAACAGGCTGGGTTGCGCCCGGGAGGCCTGCCGGACAAGGAGAGTGTCTGAGGGGACGTCACACTGTCCCTTCCACACCCTCCGGCCTCAGCCCCCTTCGTTCCGGAGCCAGACTTCCTCGGCCCCCATACTCACCGCGGAAGCAGCCGGGGCGTCTCCCTGCAGGGAAAGAGAAGATCAGAGGAGGTGACATGGGGCTCTCGTGGCCTCGGCCCCGGGGCTCACCGAGGGCCCGGTGGCAGGGGCGAGCTCAAGCCAGGACGATCGCCAAGGTCATTGAGTTTATGTGATGTGTTGCATGAGAGCAGATTTATTACCCTACGTGCATTTTAGCCGAGATGATATTGCATGTGGTCCCTGAGCTCACTGGTCAAGGGACATCAAAGGAGGATCGGTCTCCCTCTGCCCGCTAGGTGGACACACTGGCCACGGTGGTGCAGGCTTAACTAGCTGCATGGCCACCTCCTTTCAGGCAGCTTAGAGTTTCTGGTCTCCCAGGAGGAGGTCCTCTCGCCCAGGGCAGGGGCTCTGCCACCCTGACGGAGGGAAATACCCGCCCACTTTTTCCTTGACAGCTTCCTTAGTATTTAGCATGATGGGATTGCTTTCCTTGCAACCAAAGAAACAAAATTCTCAAGTATTTTCCCCCCATTTATTTCCTTGGGTGGCATTTGAGGCATTGGTTTTGCCACCAAGCCTGGCTTCTCCTAAGTACCAGCTTGCTTTCCTCTCCCTCGGCCCACTTCCCAGAAAAGCCCAGCAGGGAGCAAACGCTACAATAGGAAGAGCTGTGTGTTTTGCCTCGCGTCACGGGATTTTTAGAGCCACAGTTCTTCTTTGGGGAGGGCACTGGGGCCCAGTCTTCCCTCTGGTACGGGACAGCGGCGGCTGCACCCTTGCGGCCTTTTCTTAGTGAGCGAGTGAGCACGAACCCTCCAGCCTCCGCTCCGGGCCTCCCTTACAAAGGCTCGGGGAGGCTCACGAAGGCTCAGGGAGGCCTGGCTTTCAGAGTGAGCAGGATTCGGCCTCGGCCCACCAACACAGAGGACCCCGGCTGCCAAAGCCTCTGTCCCTGCTCCCCCCCCCAGGGAAACAGGGCGGTCGCCTGCCTTACCTTGGCAGGGCCCTTGGCCGGGTACTGCCAGCCGTAGCCGGTAGGGTGCGCCTGCTGGTTATAGTTGTAGTTCTGTGGGACACAGCGCGGGGAGGGGCCGCGGAAGGGAGGAAGGGAAGAGATGACATCATTTTGTTCCGGAATAAACACCCCACCTTCCCGCCCCACCTGGACCTTTCTTAAAGCCCCTGCCTTCTCCCTGCCTTGTGTCACGCGTTTTCACTTCTTTCTTTCTTTTTTAAAAAAATTCGTTACAGATGGGGCTTTACTATATTGCCCAGGCTGGCCTCCAACTCCTGGCCTCAAGAGATCCTCCTGCCTCAGCCTCTGAGTAGCCTCCGAGTAGCTGGGACTACAGGCATGAGCCGCCACGGCCATGTGTTTTCTTTTTATAGAATCTCCTCCGGCCGGGGCCCACGTCCTCACGCCCCTGTGTTGTCCTAGCGCAGAGGGCTGGCCTCCTCCTTGCCTTGGCACCTGTCCCGACTCTCCAGTGTCACTTGGGAGGTGAGGGTGGGAGGCCAGGGAAAGAAGGACCAGGACCTCAACCAGGTGGTCAGGTGGCAGATAGCTTACTTTATTTTATTTTGAGACAGAGTCGCACTCTGTTGCCCAGGCTAGAGTGAGTGCCGTGGCATCAGCCTAGCTCACAGCAACCTCAAACTCCTGGGCTCAAGCGATCCTCCTGCCTCAGCCTCCCGAGTAGCTGGGACTACAGGCATGCGCCACCATGCCCGGCTAATTTTTTTATATATATTTTTAGTTGGCCAGCTAATTTCTTTCTATTTTTATTAGAGATGGGGTCTCACTCTTGCTTAGGCTGGTCTAGAACTCCTGAGCTCAAACGATCTGCCCGCCTTGGCCTCCCAGAGTGCTGGGATTACAGGCGTGAGCCGCCGCGCCCGGCCCAGATAGCTTACCTTAGAGGCTGACGCATCTTGCCATCCTCCGCCAGGCTGACGAATTATTGAAAGAGAATTGTTACAATTGTGGAAGAGAATTTCAGATTGGCCAGACCCAAGGACAAGGCTGAGAGGGACGGGGCCGGCCAGGGGATGCCAAGGGGAAGCGACTTACCTGATCAGCACCGCCCGCCCTCTTCTGCAGCGAGGACACATCTGCGCCCTGAAAGGGGCCGGGGCCGGGGTGAGTGTCTCGGGTTCAGGGTTCGCCAGACTTCCCCAGCTCCCGCGTCCACTGTCTGGGCCCCACCCTCCCTGTGCAGCCCCACTGCCCCCCACCGCCCCCCACCGCCCCCCACCCTCCCTGTGCAGCCCCAATGCTCCCCACTGCCCCCCACCGCCCCCCACCGCCCCCCACCGCCCCCCACCCTCCCTGTGCAGCCCCACCGCCCCCCACCGCTCTGGGCCCAGGATAAGCAGAGAGGGAAGAGAGCCTGGGAGAAACCGACGGCCCAGACAGACACAGGACGCAGGTTTCCACGCAGGACTGGGGAGCCGGGAGAGAACCGGGTCTGGCGACGCCGTCCCCACCCAAGCCCCCGGAGCGCTGGCAGCTGCGGTCGGCCTGCGACTCAGCTGGGACAACAAGGAGCTGGAGCCACACAGGCTGGGGGGGCAGACCCGGGCACCCCCGCCTCCCCCTACCTTTCACCCACACTTAAAAATCAGATTTGTAGCTTTTCTTGAAAAGCCACATTGGCTCTACGCGGGTGCAGCACGACGCTCAGCCGGGGCCTCGACCTCCCCCCTTTGCATGGCGCCGCCTGTCCAGCCGTGTGTGCTTGGCACGCATAGGCGTGTGAGCCCGAGCGTCTTGTTCCCCAAAGGCCCTGACCCCCCATACTGCCCTCCTGTTTCCTTTCAGCTTTCCCCCTCCCCTGTGCACCCCTTCCAGCGCCGGAGGTGGACCCCAGCCCGGCCCCTCCCCCATCTCCCTCCACCTGCCCTCCCCCGCGGTACCCACCCAGCCGTGGCCGTCCCCCGGCCACACCAAGCCCAGCAGAAGCAGCAGCAGAGCGGAGGCCGCGGCCAGCTTCATGTTTCCGCACCTGTGGAGGCCCCAGCCCTCGGGCCTCCGCTTTTATCCCGGGGAGGACCTCCCGTCCCACTCCCCGGGGTGACTCACCGCTTCTCTGTCCCGCCGCACCCCGTAAATCCAGGAAAGTGGGAAGGGGGTGGGCGCGTCCTCAACAGGGAGGGTGAGAAGCCGGGACAGAAACCAAGGCCCCCGAACCCCGTGTCCCAGAGCTGGGGGGTTCCCCGCTACGCAGTGAGAAGGTCTGCCGCCCCCCTTACCTCAATAATCGTTTTCCAGTTGAGGAAAGGAGTGTTGCTTTTGAAGTCCTGGAGGGAGAAGGAGGGTTGAGTGGCGGGGGCAGAACTCAGAGGCTGTCCGGGCAGCCCCCGGGGCGGGTTCCAGCTCAGGAGGAGGAGGGGGTTGAGAGCCCGGGCGTGGCTCGGGTTGGAGGAAGACAAGCCGGCGAGAGACTGAGCGGGTGAGCATCGGAGACGGGGTTGGTGCTGAGACTTGGGCGGGGTGAGGCCTGTCTCCAACATGGCAAGGGGGTTGCTGCTGGGGGGGGGGGGCGCATAGCAAGGGACAGGGTGACCAGGGTCCCCAGGTCTTCAAAACAGGGTTCTCCTACCTCCCAGAGCCGGCGGAAGTAGAGGAGGGCTCGCGTGCTGGGGCGTGGGATTTGGTTCTGCGGAGGAAAGGGGGGTGCAGGTTAGCAGGGCCCTGAGCCGCTCACCTGGCTCTACTCCTGCTGCCGCCTCCTCTCGGCCTGCGGAATTCCCTTGTGACCTTGTGACGGGGGTGGGGGTGCGAGGGGGGCTGGGAGTCTCTAGGGGACCCCGGAGAACTGTTTCTGGAAACAGGAGGAAGAAGCAGGGTCTCTGGAGCCTCAGCCCGCCCTCCCTCCTCGTGTGCATACGGTGTGCAGAACTTCACCGGAGCAAAACCTCGCACCCAGGACCTGCCTCGGAGCTTCCCCTGTCCGCCTGCCATGCGACCTGGAGCCCGTTTCCCAAAGCTGGGGGGCTGCGGCCGCCCCTCCCAACCCTCACCCCCTCCACCCCAGAACAACGGTGGAGACATAAGAAAGGAGCAGAGACCAGGAGTGTGGGCCAGCTAAGGTTTATTGCCAGGGCAGGGGTGGAGGTTAGCGGTGAGATAGTGGCGTTTTAGGAAGGGAGTGGGGGGCTCCCCTCCATCTGGTAGCTCCTTGTCTGGAGGTCACGGGGCACGAGAGCTCCTCTGGTCCTGGGCAAAGAAATAGGCTCTAAGCGGGAGCGTGAGGGGTCGGAGTTCAGGGCAGCGGTGGGCCAGGGCAGGGGTACACGGGCCTCTGCTCCACCCGTCTGCAGGGACCTTTTTGTCTAAAACTGTCACCCGTACAGATCCAGGTGTCCCGGCCTGGGCTTGAGAACCCCCTACCTCTCTAAGAATGTCACACAGAGGCCCCCTGTCCTCACCCCTCACTCTGGCTGAGGTCCTGAGCTCCTTCACCCCCCCACCCCGTGAAGGAAAACTGGGTTCCATTCTCCTCCGTGCCCTCCTCTGTCCTGCCTCTGTCTCTGGGGGATCCGTCCCCAGGGAAGCTGGCCCGGGTGGATCCTGCCCCTAGAAGGGCAGAAACACCTGCCGGCCGTCCCGGCCCCCTGGGAAGCGTCTGCACGTGGCCCGGCTCTCCTGCCAGCACCTACGGTCCCCGCGGTCCAGCGAACAGTCCTCCTCCTACCAGCAACCATTCTCCATCCATCAGAGAGCGTGTTTGGGCGTGCAAACCGAAACCCACCACGGCTGAGAACATTTCCTGCCTTTCTCTCCCCACTCCACTCCCCAGAGGTCAGACTTTGATTGTCCTGGGCACAAGTTTTGCAAAGGCAGGGATCCAGGTCTCCGTTCCTTTACATCAAAGATCAGAGACGCCAGTGTGCACGGGGGCCGGTCGGGTGGCCGAGATGACCATGTGGGGAGCAGAAGTCACTGCCCCCCAACTCTGGCCGATCGCTGCCCCGCGGGAAGGGCACCCAGTGTCGCCCAATGCTTCAAGAGAAGCCAGAGATCCCAGTCATTATGTGAACTCTCCAATGTCTAAACTTTTAGCAACAGGCCGGCCACAGTGGCTCACGCCTGTGACCCTAGCACTTGGGAGGCCGAGGTGGGAGGATCGCTCGAGGTCAGGAGTTCGAAACCAGGCTGAGCAAGAGCAAGACCCCCGTCTCTACTACAAATAGAAAGGAATTAATTGGCCAAATAAAAATGTATAGAAAAAATTAGCCAGGCAAGGTGGCGCATGCCTGTAGTCCCAGCTACTCGGGAGGCCGAGGCAGGAGGATCGCTTGAGCCCAGGAGATTGAGGTTGCTGTGAGCTAGGCTGACGCCATGGCACTCACTCTAGCCTGGGCAACAAAGTGAGACTCTGTCTCAAAAATAAATAACTAAATAAAATAAACTTTGGCAACTGATTTATATTTTTAAAAAAGGGGGAGGGTGGCTCATGACATATCCGTGAGTCACCAATTGTAGCTCCTGCATTGTCCCCTCCCTCCCTGTGCAGCCCCCTCCACTCTGGGGGTGCCTCTGGTGTTCTGGGGTCCAACAGGCCTGGCCAGGGGTTCCCCTGCAAGAGGGAGGGGGAAGGCAGGAAGGAGAGAGGGGTTCTGGGCCCCAACTGTCCTCTGAGGTTGTGCACGAGCCTGGCCCAGACTAACACTTGTCACCCGCCAGATGCTCAGCCAACATAGGTTTCCTTTTCCCTTCTCGGGGTGTCAGTCCTCGTGTGGCCCTTTAGCTCCCCCGGCTCCTCATTCAGTCTGCCCGCCTGCGTTAGGCCAACTGGCTCTGCCCTTAACCTTCCGGCTCTTGAAGGGGAAACTGAGGCTCAGAGCCTGCTCGGGTCTGTGTGCTGAGCAGTAAAGAGGCCCATCCCGTCCGCGCATGCTCAGCTGCCAGCTGTTCCCAGATCCCCCGTCTCTTCCCAGGTCTCTGCTGTGCTTCCCGCTCTGTTTTGCTCCTGTTGCTTTTGTTTGTGGCACTGGCCAAAATACTTCTCCGTGTCCCTCTCCCACAAGGATGAAGATCGCATGGCCTGCCAGCCCTTACCTTGCTTATGGCATCCCAGTTAATGAAACCCAGCTTGGATTTAAAATTCTGCAGAGAAAAAAAAAAAGGAGAAAGGCGGAATTGGGTCATGATGTCATTGGCTCAGGGCTCGTTCCTGTTGGTGTTCAGGCCAGCGGAGGCCCAGGGCCACTGCTGACTGTTGGTTTAGGGAGAGGACTCCAGCCCGTGGGGCCAAGAGACAGGGGCTGGTTTCCCAAGCCAGAGCGAGCAGAGCTCTCCTGCAGACCTCACCTTCCAGAAAGTGTCGAAGTTGAAGGGCCCAGAAGCCATCTCAGAGTTCTGCGGAAGCAACGAGAAAGACATGAGATTGGGAAGCCACTTTGTGAGCGTGAGGCAGGAAATATCAAGTGTCAGGAGGGAGGCAAGGACGGTCGATGCCACAGCCCCAGCCCAAGGTGGAGTGTCGCCGTCACTCACCGTGGTACTGACGCCATTGACAGCTTCACCTCTCACACTGTCCCCACGGGCCCCTTGCCCCTGGGTGGGGAAAAGGGGGCCGATGTTCGAGGCTTACCCGTCCCGTCACGGGAGCCGCCCGTCAACCTGCTCCTGCCCACGATTGCTCGCCTCTGCCCAAGCTCCCTGTGCCCCTCTCTGGGAAACCACCGTCTCTTCTTCACACAGCACCTAAAATCCCGCCTCAGAAAGCCCTTCTAGAATGACCTGCTACCATGTAACCCAGTCCCGTGAATCATATTCATACTCAGCCTAGCTCACAGCAACCTCCAACTCCTGGGCTCAAGCGATCCTCCTGCCTCAGCCTCCCGAGTAGCTGGGACTACAGGCATGCGCCACCATGCCCAGCTAATTTTTTCTACAGGTTTTTAGTTGGCCAATTAATTTATTTCTATTTTTAGTAGAGACGGGGTCTCGCTCTTGCTCAGGCTGGTTTCGAACTCCTGACCTTGAGCGATCCGTCCGCCTCGGCCTCCCAGAGTGCTAGGATGACAGGCGTGAGCCACCGCGCCCGGCCCATATTCTATACTCCTGCTTCCGCCCTCTCCTGTCCCCAAAACATCACTGGTAATGACAGTCACTAACGTGTAGTCCCACCATGCCCCTTCATGGAATGGGGACACTGAGCTCAGGCGTCTGGCCCCGCGATCTGCCTCCATCACCTGGCCCCTGCGCCACCCGGGGTGGTTACGTAAGGTACAGAAGGCTCAGCAGTGACCGCAGGAGACGAGCAAGTCGGGCTTTATCCGAGGAAGCCCAGGCTCCCGGGGTTTAACCCCCCTCCCTGAAGTCACACCCGCCACGTGCGGGAGCCCTCGTCTTCTGACTCAAAGTTCAGTGGCTTCCTCCTTCCCACACTGCCTTCTTAAGCACGGTTTTTACAAATAGCCCCTTGACCCTTATTTTTGCTCGCACAAAGTTAACATCGCTCTGGCCCCCGTTGGAAGGAGGGAAGGGAGGAAGGAAGGAATGGAGGAGGGAGATGGGCCTTCTGGTGGTCAACACAGATTCAGGGCCGCTTACGGGGAGAAACTGACATCCCTTTTTCCCAGGCCCTCGGCACACTCCCCCGTCCCGTCTGAAGCCAGCCCTGCTGCCCCCCGGCTTACCTGTGACCCGCCTTGGGAGCCCCCCAGGAGGTGACTGTTCTCTCTGCTTGTTCCCTGGGAAGACAGAAATGCAGACGAGTCAGTGGGGACACAGGCTGGGGGTGACAGGGCAGGGTAGCAGGGTGTAGGCGGGGGACCCCTGAGTCAGGACACTGAGGCGTGAGCTTGCAGAGGGCTTCCAAGGACCCCTTCTCCCAGGGTAGCTCCATCCTCCCTGGTGGATCCTGCTGCAACCTCCCGTGGCTGGAGTTATTGCTCCATTATGGTGTTTGTGCATAGCATCACCATCCCCATTTATATTCATTTCTGCACGTTACCCACAATCCAGCCAGAAGCACCTTTGCCACCAACGTATCTGAATTCTCCCCTGGCTTGTATGTTTGTTTGTTTGTTTGCTTGTTTTTGAGACAGAATCTCACTCTGTCGCCCAGGCTAGAGTGCCTCGGCGTCAGCCTAGCTCACAGCAACCTCCAACTCCTGGGCTCAAGCGATCCTCCTGCCTCAGCCTCCTGAGTAGCTAGGACTACAGGCATGTGCCACCATGCCCGGCTAATATTTTCTATACATTTTTAGTTGGCCAATTAATTTCTTTCTATTTTCAGTAGAGAGGGGGGGTCTCGCTCTTGCTCAGGCTGGTTTCGAACTCCTGACCTAGAGCGATCCTCCCGCCTCGGCCTCCCAGAGTGCTAGGATCACAGGCGTGAGCCAGCGCGCCCGGCCTCTCCCCTGGTTTTGAAGCAGGAGCGAGCCGGGCTGTTGGACTGAACCGATTCAAGCCGAAGGACCCGTCTGGACGGATGTTTGCGTTGGTCAGAAAGGCAATGCCAGCTGGAGAGCCAGTGGGAGCTGAGAGGCACAGCAGACCGCCTAGTCTCCTGCTAGGTGACAAGCGGCCCCCACCCCCTCTGCTCACCGTGGGAACCTGGGACTCTCAGAGCCCTGGGCTCTCCCTCCTGCCCAGGGCGGCAGGCGGACCCGCCCTACTAGAACTGCATCCTCAACGTGGGCCTCCGACCCATGCACTACGGGCACAGTGTCTCCTCCTAGGGCCAGCTGTCCCCTTACCCTCATGTCCCCGGAGCCACCGGAACCTCCCTGTCCTCCTCTGAGGCCCTGAGGGATAAGACAGCAAAATGCAGATCCCCATTTTAGACCCCGAGGCCACCCCCCGAAGCTGATGCATTGATGGAATACGAATCTTCTAACAATCCCAACGGAATTCTCTTTCCGAACGTGTCAGAATCACTTTGAAATTCATTCAGGAGCATAAAGGTCTAAGAATAGGTAAGAAAACACAGGGAAAGACAAGTGGCCAGGGAGGGCTTATCTCAGTAGATTTTTTTTTTTTTTTTTTGGAGACAGAGTCTCACTCTGTTGCCCGGGCTAGAGTGTCGTGGTGTCAGCCTCGCTTACAGCAACCTCAGACTCCTGGGCTCAAGCAATCCTCCTGCCTCAGCCTCCCGAGTAGCTGGGACTACAAGCATGCACCACCATGCCCGGCTAATTTTTTCTATATATATTAGTTGGCCAATTAATTTCTTTCTATTTTTAGTAGAGACGGGGTCTCGCTCTTGCTCAGGCTGCTCTCGAACTCCTGACCTTGAGTGATCCTCCCACCTCGGCCTCCCAGAGTGCTAGGATTACAGGCGTGAGCCACCGCGCCAGGCCTCCAACAGATGTTAATATACTACAAGGCTACCATAAATAAAGCAGTGTGGTCTCTGCCCCCGAATGGATGAATCCGTCCCACAAAACAGACCTACTCAGAGCTCTCCCCAAATATTAAGGCATTTACAAATGGCATTTTAAATCCGTGGTGGAAGTGGTTCGACGCATGGAACTGGGAATATTGGTTACATATTTGGGGCAAATTATGCCTCCTCAGTTTCCTCCCTTCTGTTTTTGACTGGTTTCCCCCTCTTAAAGGGACATACAGCTCTGATCCAAAGTGTAGGACCAGACGGGGCAGGGGTGGGAGAGAGCGGGCACTAGACAGTATTCTGCAAAATAAAGTCCAGATGGACTTTATTTGGAGGTAGATTAAAAAAAAAGAGACGATAGAAGTATTCATAGCACTAGAAGAAAATAAAGACCTTTAAAGCAATACACCAAGAGTAGAAACTAGGGGGAAAAATGATATTTTTGACTACTTGCATACTTAAGGGTTTGGTGTGCCTGTAATCCTAGCACTCTGGGAGGCCGAGGCGGGCGGATTGCTCCAGGTCAGGAGTTCGAAACCAGCCTGAGCAAGAGTGAGACCCCATCTCTACTATAAATAGAAAGAAATTAATCGGCCAACTAATATATACAGAAAAATTAGCGCGGGCATGGTGCGCATGCCTGTAGTCCCAGCTACTCGGGAGGCTGAGGAAGGAGGATCGCTTGAGCCCAGGAGATTGAGGTTGCTGTGACGAGGCTGATGCACGGCACTCACTCTAGCCTGGGCAACAGAGCAAGACTCTGTCTCAAAAAAAAAAAAACAAACAAACAAACAAAAAAAAACAGATTGGTGTATA